AAAAAAAAAAAAACGTCACCAGGACTCTCGTCGTGCTCGTTGCCAGTCCGACGACGCACAACGCGAAGGTATGCCGTGTGCGCGCTACGAAAGAAAAAGGAAGACCACAACCAGACTGTACATCCCAGTCCGATCGATCCTCGACGCGAGGACGCGATCGCACCGGATCGTCGTGTTCGTCGTGTTCGTCGAGCGGACGGAACAGCACAGCGCACGTTCATCAGTGCGAAAGGCTGACGAATCTTTTGTACCGCACGTAAGCGAACGATAATGCAGTCGTCGCGATGAAGATCCCGCGCGCGTCATCCTCGACGACGACGACAACGGCGGGATAGATAATAATCCCCGCGCTGACTGACGAAAGTAAAATTAAAAACGCAGTTGCTCGTCCCGAAGGCGCGGACGAGGTCGAATATCTCTCTCCCAAAAAGACAAATGTCAATCATTACGCTATACAGGGTGCTCGTCTGACGAAACGCGTCTGAAAACTTTAAAAAGAAAAAGATAAAAAATATAAAAAGAAAAACTGAGAATTAAGGGACGAACATGGGCTCAGCGCCGATCCGACATCCCCGCCGGATATCGGTTCTCCTTAACGTTTAAGGTTTAAAACATACGGCGCGTTGTAGGTTTTATATACCGCAGATAGAATGGACAGGAGTTCGGGCGCGCGTGCCGCGCGTCGAGGAGGTATCGAGATTCTCCATCCTCGCGCGCGTTCGCACGGCGCGCTCGTCCTCCCCGACTAATAGCACTTATTACTACTATGGTTATGGTGAATTATCATTGTAATTATCGCTAAGTAAGTGACGCGCGAGTTTCCGGCCGAAAGTATAACTTACTCCGTTGCGGTTCCTACGCGAACACATGCGGGAGAGGAGTCGCGCACGGGCGCGATCGCGATCGACCCGCCCGTCCTGCGATCGACTCCGCGACTATCCGCGATCCGATCTACAGATCGACGATCGGCGGATCGGTGAGCTCCGTCCGATCGGTGAGCATCGCCCGGGAAATGTCAGCCAGGCTGTGATTGTCCAGACGATGACGATGTCGCCAACGACGGTCCTCTTTAAGTTTCGATGTTGTTCCGACGGCATATATATAATTGAATATTATAATAATATATATATTATATTTATATTATAATAATATTATATATTAATATATAATATATATATAATAATATATGTATAATATATAGTGAAGTTATCTTCTATTGTCGTAAAAATAGAGGAAGAACGAAGATAAAGGAAGAAGTAGATAAAAGAGCGAGAAAAAACCAAAGAAAACATAGTCATATTGCATAAAACGCAATATATCCTAGAAGCGCTTTCCTTAGACTGCGATACGAGAAGAGGAATAAACTAGAGGTATGTCTTTTTACGTTCTACTTTATTTCTACTTTATTTTTTAAGTGTAACGAATTGAGTTTGGGACGAATTGTAAAATAATTTACTGTGCAATGATTTTTGATAGAGAATTTTTATGTTTGTTCTCGCGAATGTTAGCGAGGCCTGTAATGATTCCAGATTTGAGCGTATTTTTTTTTCCTTTTTTTTCGAGAGGAAAGGACCGCTGCCGGGTGCAGGTTCGGTACGCCTATCGATCAATCGTGCGTGTTCATACGGAATTCCTGTGACTGAAATAGACAAAACATTGAACATTTCGCGTGCGATGCCCGGTCGGATACGCAGAGCGTCTCGGGCGATTTGTGCGAACGTTCGCGGAAGAAAGCCAGTGAACAGAGGGTGGGAGGGGAAAGGGGGAACGGGGAATAAAAGGTATAGGGGATGGAGAAACCGAATATATAAAATATGCGTAGGGTAGGTGATAGGATAGGCGAGCGATGGAGCGGAGAGGAAAACTCTGATCTAGCGGAAATAATCAACCAAAGTACCAACAACTGACATATATATATATATATATATATATATATATATATATATATATATATATATATATATATATATATATATATATATATATATAT